GTGGTTATTGGTGTTACGTATTATAATGAATCCATCATATTATATATTATAATTAATACCTGGATCAGAACTTGCGCCCATCAGCTTTGAACCTTGTCAGTTTTCTCAAGTATCCTCTAGAGCAGAGGTGGGCAACTATGGCCCCTTTATGACTTGTGGACTTCAACTCCCAAAATTCCTGAGTTAGCATGGCTTGCTCAGGAATTCTGGGAGTTGAAGTCCATAATTCATAAAAGGGCCATAGTTGCCCACCCCTGCTCTAGAGCCTAGACCAGGGGTGTCAAACTCCCAGCCCACAGACCAGATGCATGACATGCTGGCCACACCCACCCCGTTTTAGCCAAGGGGAAGAAAGTTGTGGTACATCACATGACGACAATGTGTTGCAACACCCCAGCTCTAGACTGATTTTATGGTAGGAGTCACAAACGTGCAGCCTCAAGTTATTTTCTTAGGCTGATGGATACTTTGTAGGTTCAGTGCTGTCCAGCCAGGCCAGGATGCCCTGGAAGATGCACAGGCTGGGCCATGGAACCATACCAGGGGTCTGAGGGGCCTGGGGTCAGGGATTGAGTGGCTCACCCAGATTTATCCCAGAGGGACTTGGGTTCAGAGTTGGTGCTTTGAGACCTGTTCTGAGAAAGTAAATGTTGTTTCTGAGGCTGGTGTGGGGTTTTTGGGCAAGGGCAGAGGAAGGCAAGGCTTAGCCAGTAAAGATGGGATTCATCATCCTTGTTTGATGGATTTGCTAGATTGCTAGTCATTCATTCTGGGTAAATCTTGGGGGGGGGGGGGAAACAACCCAGTAATAAAACCAAGTCTAGGGTCTCTGGTTTGAAAAATATTGCTAGGTGTCGCACTGAGATACTTTCCGTTTTTCACCCAGTAGAGCAGTTCTTCTGAAACTTGGCAACTTTTAAGATGTGTGGACTTCAACTCCCAGAATTTTCCAGCCAGTATGGCATCTGGGGAATTCAGAGGGTTGAAAGTCTCACATCTTAAAGCTGATGAGGTTGAGAAGCACTGCTTTAGAGACTTGTAACAATATATAAAAAAGATTCAGTCTTGCAGATTGATGAACTTCACACTAATGAACTAATTCTCCTCCAGCACTTGGGAGGATTTTAGATGGAAAGCCCTGCTTAATGTCAATCTGCCAAGTTCTCTATAGGAAACTAATAATAGTATATCCAGGTATGTGCATCCTATGCCTCTTGGCTTGGTCAGCATATGCATATCCCCTGTACTGTGAGAGACTATTTAATTTAGGTTTTCCTGTTAAAGTAAAAATAAGAATCCTTTCTGGCAATCCTTTTTTTCAGTCAGTTCTAGTGATATTGGTTCTGACTCACAAATCTGGTGTGTCAATTAATATTAAAAGTGCCTCTAGAATTTTTAGTTTGCCCAGTGTACATTTTTGTGTTGTGTTATACTCAGCTTCCAGATTCTAGGCATACATCAATATGTTGATTTTAACAGCACCAGCTACAGACAAATTTAAAACTCGTCTCATGGATGTAGCCACATGAAGGGTTAAATTCAATGGAAAACCAAGCTTGGAACAACATTTGTTTTAAATAAATCTATTTAAAAGAAACTCCTTTTCTCCCCTTCTACAATATAAATAAGCATTAAGATTATTTTAAAGCAAGTCATTGTAGATTGTAGGTTTTTTTTTAAAACTACCTTGTGCTTTTGAATAGAGAAGACATCATCTGTTCCCCTGCTGGCCCACATTACATTTAAGTAGCTGGATACATGCAGCATGAGACAGTGGAGTCTCTGCAGCAGCAAACAAACAATTAAATATTAATCTACTGCACTTTTCATGATAATGCTTGTAGCTGAATGGAGCCAGAATGCAGTTTCTTTACTATTTTTTTAAGAGAAGCTTGTTACAAAATGGACTCCCAGTCTTGCTCAACTATTTAGGATAATTAGCTGAAGCATAAAATCAGTAATGCTAAACTCTTCAACCTAGTATCAAAATCTTCCTTAAAGATTATATAAATGCTAATTTCTTTATGCACATTCCTGGTGGCAGCTGCAGTTTAATGTTTATGTTTCTTTAAAGAAGTCTTTAATATTTATGTTTCTTTAAACAAATATTTACCTTTACAAATCTCTGTTCCTAAATTAATGACCTAGATAGAAATGTGCATGTATATAAATGATTGTTCAAAAGAATTTGGTGAGTTAAATAGACAGCTATGTTAGTTTATGATAGCCAAAAATCAGGAGGAATCTGGTACTCCTTTTCAGACCAACATATTTTAATAAAGGGCGTTAACTTTCATGAGCTGTGGCTCACTTCACCAGATGTATGAGGTGAGTAAATTGATCAATTTTGCCACCTGGATATGATGCAATGAGCTCATGAAAGCTAATGACCTTTAATAAAAAGGCTGTGCTTTCAAAGTGTCAGAAAGCAGCCCACTGGTGGGGTTTTGCTCAGCTTGTATAAGACTATTCAGCTTCTTTAGGGCCATATTGCAAGCCAACTCAGTAGAAGACACTGGTAGGCTACCACCTCAATAAAGGTCACACACACTAGGGTCAAGTGTAATGCGGGGACATGCCTGATTTCAGAATACTCAAAGAAGTTGGTTTCTCAGGTAAGCAAAAAGGCTGGCAAGTGAGGGAACCCAAATCTGGCTGCCCTCTTGAGTTTGCAAGGCTTCAGCTATAGATGGAGATAGAAAAAGTAGGAACTATCCAAGAAGTGGAGAGAAGAGGTTTTTCTTCTCATGTGATTTCTGTATTGAAGCAAAGATATCAGTTCAGAAAATCCATTCTTGAGAAAAATGGAGGACACACAAAAAGGGAACCAGAACCTTTCTGTTACTTCAGAAATTTCAAGGAAGAACGGATGAATTATCAACAAGCTTATGCCTACTGCTCCGATAAAAAAATATGACTTTGAAAATATAATTTTTGCTATATATACACGACTTTTACCAAGGTCCAACAATCAGAACTGCGGTTTCCAATCTTCGTTTAGAAAGGTCATTCTTGGAACCTATTAAAACCATTTGGCTTTTCTTCAAACTGGGTTCTTTTCCAAGACTCCTTGTAGTTCATAAATGTACCAGTTTTTACTAAGAGGAATTGTTCCAGCAGTGTTTTTGACCATAATATTAAGTGTGTGTAATTGCTCTTTGTAATGCAGTAATCTAAACCAAATACTTGATTAAAAAAAATAAAGATTTGGAATAGCAATGCCATGGTTGCCTTACCTATATTGGTCCACTAAATAATAGAAGCAATATAAAATGGATTCAGCAAAACCTACTTTTGTATTCCATAATGATTTTGTTAATTATGTATGAGATTTCTTTCTGCCTCACTGATTTTAATCTCTTATCTCTGGCGTCCATTGAAGGCTGCAGCAAAACCAAGTATTCAAATCATACTTCAGTTGAATGTGGAGAAAGACAACCGTGCTTCTTAGAAAGGCGCTTTCCCTCCCCTACAGTAAATATAAATCTATAAGCTGAATGCCCTTTTAACTGTTCTTCCTTTCTTGTAAGACTTGGACTATCTTGCATGTTACGGTATAATCACATACAGATTTCTTCCTTTTCTTAAACAAAATGTGCTTTTCAGTGCTTCAAACTTCAATGAAAAATCAATACCAGTTACTGAAAATCAAAGCAGCTTCTTTAATGTAAAAAAAGTGATCTCTTCATCATTCTGCAAATTTCTCTAGGCCTGGGGTTTGTGGGGGGAGGGCCTTCCTCCTTACAACCAGATGTTGAATGTTCAATTTACCACACTGAATACCACATACAATGTTAGTTTTGAACAGTTGTTCACCTACAGTAATACTGGTTATGTACCATGAAATGAGTGTTGATTATTCACCAGTTTCTCCAGGATTTTGTGATATTATCAAAATGCATTTTCTTTAGGAAACTCTTCTGCTTCTTTTTCTTACTCAGGATTACCTTGAAATAATTAGTTACATATACTAAGTTTCAGAGACAAGTAAGGCTTTCCACATGAAATTTTATTTTCAGATGTTTCTAACTAGTAAGACAGTGCAGATGCCCAAATTTACAGAATATTTATTAAATGTGAAATCCAATATATAAAGGTTCATACACTACACTATTAGCTGTATTTTACAGGGAATACCCACAGATATTTTTGCTGTTCATTTCATGCTATCAAACTAAATGACAAAAATTTACTATCTCCATAATTACCATTTATCTAAAAGCATTCTGAAATGTATAATATTGTATCAAATGTCCCATAATCTTTTTCCAACTATCGTTAAAATATATATATTTAGTTAACTGTGCTGAACAGAAAGGCATTCTTCCTGTCCTAAACTAGGGTGAACCAGCAGTTAGAATTTCTTCTACAAAAACCTACCCTTTAAGAACACAACGTTGTTTAAGCAGATACCATATTTGGAAGTGATCTTGGTCAAGAAAAATAATCACAAGAGCAGCACATTCCTTTTCACTCATGTGACTGGGAAAAGCAAGCAAACAAACTTGTCTTAAAAGGTGGGGCAGAAATAGATCATACAAATCACAAGTGTGCATGCACACAGGCATCACCATACCATACCCTTCTCTTACAATCTGTTTAAAAAGTCAAATGATCCCTGTAAGGGGAAGCAGAATAACATGAGAATGTATCTGCAGAAGCTTCTAAGTCTAATCACTTTACAAGTCTTGTCTGCTGAGTTACAATCTTAGGCAAAACATAGCAAGGAAAGGGACTGGAGGCAAAAGGATATATAAGTGGGATTAATTAGAAAATGCCACTGTAAAGAAGATTCCAAAATCAGGGATTTAATTTATGTAAAAAATTACACACCATGCCCTTACCCAGTAGCTTTCTGTGGAAGCCTTGTCCTAACTATGCACATAAAATTTCCGTACTGGATGTGGCTCTTACCTTTCATAAATATGCAAATAATTCCTGTAAGCAGACATTTTGATGTTTATTTAAAATATTTTTATTCCACTTTTCTACTTAAAAAGTATTCAAAGAGGCGAAATCAATTGAGTCAACAAAGTCTTGCATTCAAACACTCATTTGCAGATGATGAAACAAAATACAGTTTAAATAGTTTAAGGTTTCTAGATTGCAGGTTGTATCCAATTAAGCTGATTATTCTGTAAACCATTGAGTCTGTTGATTTAGTGGTTTATAAGTAGAATGACTACAGTAATTTTATTTCTGCTGTAAAAACAAACACCTCTCCCAAATTTTTAATTAAGTGGAAGCTTCCGTGAACAGAAAAATACATGCTTTCTGCAAATTTCTTCTCCCATTTAACTTTCTACATTGTTCCAAAGTTTTCTCCAATTCTTTGGAGTGCATTTGGTGAGAAAGAGGTTTGACAGGTTGAAGCACCAAAGGAGAATTAGCAAAAATGCTTCCTTGTATCTCACTAGAATCTCTGCTGAATCAGAGCCTCCCCTTAGAGAACAGACACAACTGGACACATCTTAAAACTGCAGTGCTTTACAAACTTATCACTGAAGGTTTTTAAAACCAACAGACTTCTTTAATGAAATGATTATGTATAAATAATAGTCTGGGGCCATGAAAGCAGGATATATATTTTTCTTATTCAATATGTACAGAAAAGAATTAGACAATTCTATTTATTTAATGAAGCAGTTAGAAAACATGTATATAGTGAAACACATTTTTTAAACAAAGGCTTGCATTCCTTCTAAAACTGAAAGTGTGTTTTTCTGATTAGCTTCATATTCAACTTCTTCTCCAGAAACTCAAGGCAGATAGCTAATAGTCTCATCTCCAACTTTCCCCCCTAACAATAACCCTGTGAAGAAAATTGAGTTGTGAGAGACAAGACAGGGAGGAGGAAGGAGAGTCACCAGTGAGCTTCTACAGCTGAGGGAGGGTGGATCTGATCTGTTTCTCCCTGGTCCTAGCCAACAACTAAACCACTGCAACACACTATTAAATATAGTAAGAATTAATTTTTCCCTATATGAAAGTGTCATCAGGGCTTTTCTAAGAAATTTCCCAACATAAGAGTATTTCAAATCAAAACCATATTCTTACTTTTCTCTTTCCAGTACTTCAAAATTAAATGTTAGCTTTAAAACAAAAACATAAAAGAGCCACAATATAGCACAAAGAAAGATGTCACTGTCTAAAAATGAAACAGTTAACAACTCTCAGTCTATTCAACTTAATGTTTTGAAAAATATGAGTATTTGACATTTTAGAGAGAATGTCCCAGGGTCATCAGTAGATGAATTAGCAACAGAAAACTTTACTGAAAAAGCTGCCACACTGGCAATGCCCTATAGGTAATAGAGACAAAAAAGTCTGAGATCCATTGGATGCAACTTCCAGATTCCTCAGACACCCCAGCACTTGGAATGGGGTACAAAATTAGAACAGTCCTAGAATTGACATATATTTTCTTCCTTCCATTAAAATCTAAAGGAAAGAAAGTTTTAAAAGCCATTGAGCAAATTAATACCTAATATTAATCTTCCCTTCCATTTTTTTCCTCCTGGTTAGTGAGACAAGCAGTTTTAGGAATTGGCTATTCCTTTATCAGTAATTCCATCCCTATTGCCATAGACCCCCCCCCCCCCCCCCAATTATTCCGATTTCTGGGAATGGTCTGCATGCTTTTAAATTTAGAACTCTGCTCATATTTTACATTGAAAATTGGTTTTTGTACAGAGGGGCACGCTTTTTCATAGGACATTTCTAAACTAGGAATATTACATACCTACCGAAAGCTCCAATTATAGAATACTACTAAAATTAAAACTACAGGAATTTGAAAGTTATTTTGTAACAATTCATATGGGTACCAACAGTTAAACACTTTGAAATCAAATGTGATGCTCAAACTGGTTGCTGTCTTCCAAGAAAACAGTAATCAATGCTGAAGGTGCTTGAGTAATTATTTTTATGTAATCATGAAAAAAAATGGGAAAATAAACTACCCTTTCTATGCGGTGAGCTAGATTAAATCTATACTTCTCTATCCAAGAGTTCTCATATTACAGAAGTACAATATTTCCCTTAATTAAATATATATTTGTATTACTTGGTTGTTTTCAAAAATGTAATACTGTTATCCATCAGTCAACTCAACTCTTTTTTGACATGACATTCCAGAAGATCATAAGGTTCTTAATATCACCAGGAAATGGTGGAAAGGAGGAGGGGAAATCTAAAACACAACAGAAGAAATTTTAATCTTCATTCTAAATCATTTTTCTTTTCCTAAAAATGAGCAAAAAAATAGCTGTAACATCCCACTCCTACCTGAAATATTTTGAACTGGGATTGTACTATATAATGTTCATGAAGATTATTAACTGACTTTATTTATTAAGTTGAAAATGAAAATAGTAGAAATTAAAAAAAAATATGCCCATCTGAAACTGTTGTTCTATATGCAGAAAACAATCCCCCACCAAAATAATTTTGATCTTGATCTTTAATCAAATTACAATATTTTTAAAAAGCAATGTACAAATAAGCAATAAACAACAAAGGTAAGCAAAAATGTTTCACAAATGAGAAACTAGTAGAGAGAAAGTTGCTCCAAATATTTATAAAACTTTGTATCTTCCTTTGTTGGTTGGTTGGTATGAATTTTGCTGCAAGAGAACAAATGAGTATGTTATTAATCAAAGATGCAATTGATAATGATTAAGAGAACAGTAAGTCAATCTGACTATAAAAAGCAACAAAAACACGTTTAATTCAGAGTTGCACAGAACAGACATTCATAAATTGGATTATTGTGAAGCAGAGCAGGGAATGCAGCTTTCATTAATTCCTCCCAATAGTCTTGAAAATCCATACTAAATGGTGAAACGTCTTTAAACAATTATATGTGAACTAGCATCTGGGGGTGGGGAATACTGTTTCTTCCTAGCAGAAACTAGGAAAAAATTGCTATCTTCTTCCTCTACAGAATATCCCTCTGCCATTAGAAGGACCCTTCTGTTCAGACAGACAATTCTGAATGCAATCTTATGAAAGAAGTATAAAACGAAGTTCAATAAGCATTTAACTGTGTTAAAGCGATTTCGCTTACGGCATCATCACATTAGATAAAGACTCCTTCAAAATAACAGTATACACGTGAATTGGAAATATAATGATACATAAAATAAGCATGTTTTTACTTAAAATATATACAGAATGAAAATTGCTCTACTTTTACAGAAAAATGTAATATAATTCTAAAAAAACTTCCCAGATTTTAACGATTGAAAAATATGTTTTAAAAAAGGCATCCTGTAATAATTTTTTCTTGATATCTTGCTGATAACAGTGGCTAATATAAATAATATAAAGTAGAAATTCATTACTTCAAGACTTCAGGATTTGCAATATTGAATAAGTAAATTTAAGATATTATGATAGATTTATGTTACCATGTCAGTAAAAATGGTGCAATGTGTTAAATCAAGAGAATTTCTAAGTGACAGCATCGTCACAGAAAAATAGTATTTTCTTATTTCAACTTCCCTCAACCACTGGAAATGCCAAAACAGCTGTTCCAGCAGCTGTTCCTTACAAAATCTTACAAACTGATTCTGGTTGGAATAGGTGGTCCTACAGGTACCCAGGTGTCAAGCCAAGAAGTGCTTTATAGATCAAAATAATTATCTTAAATTGAATTCTGAAACTGATCAGCAGCCAGTGCAGGCCTTACAAAATTAGTATTGGAGCATATAATCACTGGGAGCTCATACATACGGATGCCTTTTAACATTACATACAGAAACCATGAAATCTTATTTTACCTACCAATCGGATAAGCTCTTCTTTGATAAGCCTAGTGATTTCTGCCTTTGCTTTCTGAACAGCCAGTTCGTTGGCACCTGGAAATGCAAAGGAACTCCCCATTAAAACATTTGATTATTTAAACATAATCTTAAATAGTCTTAAAGATTTTAAAATAATACATAAATTGCATGTTAAAAGTATACTTTAAAATTGATTAGTATCATTTTGTACTATCTCACAATTGTTGGCCAGAGTTGTTAGGAGTTAGGCAGCCTACACTTTGTACAAACATACAGATAGATAAATAAAATAATCAAAAGTTATTTTGCATGAAGATGTACTCATCTAAGTAAATATAAATAACAGATATAAAGGAACAGCTGTACCAAGTTTCTTATGCAACTTTAAAAGTCTCCTTAACTTTAAAAAGCATATTCCCTAATGCTATACATCTCTGGCAACTTTTTTTTTCACATTCCCACAGCATGGAAGCCTAAAAAAATTCAGACTCTTTTAAAAGCAGAAAGATGGTGTATTGGCTGTTTCAGATCATTTCAAAGAGAGTGTAGTCCTTAGTTCTCAGTTCAAATTTACATTTGTCATTATATGTATAGAAAATAATCAATTAGAGAATTGTTAGAATTTAAAAAAAAACTTGTAGCCAAATGATTGACTAGTCAGGCATTGCCAAAGAGGAAAATAGATACTAATTTGCTTATGAACCTGCCACCATGACATAGCAAGGTTGCAATTTACATTTTAGAGGTACATTTTCTATGGGTTAAAAATATTTTCATTTATTTCTAGGGAATACTATTGCTACGATCCCCCACCTCTGGGCTGCGGCTCACTACTGAGTTGGGGCCTATTCGGAATTGGGCTGTGTGAGTGGCTGGCTGGAGCTCACTCACGTGCAATTCAACTTACATAAGTGATGGACTGGTGGATCGCTGGACTGCCACTTTTGCAAGTTGAATTGCATGTGTGCATGCTATCCCACAACTCATGCAAGGGCTACCAGCATGCATGCGCCAGCCCGCCACTTGCAAACCCAGTTCCCGTTCCCTCCACCAGCTAGGCTACTAAGCAGCAAAGGTTGGGGACCACTGTACTATTGCATAACATAGACCTGGGCATTTTACAGATCTGGAGCCACATCTAGCTCGATTGTCCCTGTCCGGCCCACATAAGGTCAATCAGAAATTAGAAATCAAGTGTAAATAAGTGTATGTCAAGCATGCAATAGGACTACATTGCTTTTATTTTGAAGGCAACTGCTATTTTTTTTCAATTTACATATACGTGTGTGTGCCTATGTACTTTTGGTTTGGACTCCCACAAGAGTCCTACTTTCTTATGTGGTTCCTTGTGAAAATTAATTGCCTGGCATAAATGAACATGTATGTAATTCATTTTAACACTGCAAGCTACTTTCTTAGAATTGTTAAAGTTTTCAAAATAGCCTACAGTGCTTAATTGTTTTATTTATAAGATTCACTTTATTTTAAAGGAATAGACTTTTGCAAAATATATTCAGCAGTCATACGTTTTCCATCAATAATTACCTCATTCCATAAAATATTCTATCTTTCCATTCCTTTTACTGAATACATTTACTCTTACTGAAAAATGAGAGAAAAGGAGAAAAGCCAGGAGGCAGAGATTGTTTTTTCTCCAAATATTTAAAACAAGAATATTTTTGTGATTGTAGATATTAATTCCTTAGTGACGGGTAGATTTAGAGTTATTTTAAAGAACAGAGAGCTCAATGCTAATTCAATTTGCAACTATTGGACAATATCCGAATAAATGATAAGAGCTGTCTTTCTTGAAAGGCATCAAAATAAATGTTTCAAATATCATACAAATAAATATCTATCTTGCTTTTTATATTGAATGGTCATTTTAAATACTGATAGAAAATTCTACCAAATCAAGGTAATTAAAAATGTTAACATGAGCCAAGTTCCGTTTGAGGGTAAATAAAACATAAAAATGTTCCATACTATATGGTCCATACTATAAAATAGACTGTGTGCCATGCGCACACATGGATGTGAAAATCCCTGAAATCTCTTCTTCAAATAGCCACTTTCCCTATTTATTACACTATTTCTATACTACCCAATTCCAAATTGACTCTAGACACTTTACAATAAAACAAACATAAAAATAAAGTACTAAACCAAACAGAATAAAGCAACAATTCCATAAAACTTTCAAAATAAAAATTACATGTTCATAAAAATATTAAATGCTAGCTTATAAGCACAAAAAGATTTCTCCTGTTGCGGTAAGTTCAGTTTCTTTGTATTTACAGTCAAATCCTACTCTCGGGAAGGTGCAACTAAATCTATTGAGTTCAGTGAGGTGTAGTTATTCTGCTTGTATCAAATTCATACTTGAATATAAATCATAATATATCGAACAGGTTTTTAGTAAACAGCCATTACACATTATCCTTTAAAAAAAAATAATTTTACTAAAGTGCAACAAGGAAATGTACAAGGAACAAGTAAGAAATATCCCCAGGCCTCTTACATGTTACTCAAGAGGCAAAAAATAACCGGAATTGATAAAAATGAACAGAAACCATAGAGCTATTCAAGGATAAAAGCTGTGGTTCATGACACCAAGACAGAGTAACCTATACATCGGGTTACAAGCTAGAAATAAAATAATCTCTTACCAAGCTATCACGGGAGTCAGAAAAAAAGTAAACTCTAGACAAAAACAAGTTTCTGCAGAAATAGACAGCTGAATCCCTAGCTGCCTCTCATGCGGGAAGCCAGATTCTGTTATCTTTCAACAGAACAGGGAAAAGATATGTTTTGCTCCCTAAGACTGTATGAGTGGAATGTAACTTGGCTGGTACAGGAAGATGAAAAGGACAGCTGCTGTTTAAAGCACCATGCACTATTTCAGCAATTGGGCCAGCAGGGCTGGATTTTGATTTTCATAGGCATGTTTGGGGCAGGTAGGTAGTGGAGAGACGAGCCCTATGATCTTTCTATATCAACAATTGAGAAAATATTAATCGCTACGTAAGGTACTAGTTCCTCATTAGATCGCAAATGTAGCCAGTGCCAAGAATGAAGAAAACAAACAAACCAAACCCGATGCCCTGCTTCTATTCTTTGGTTTGCTCAGCTGGACAGAGCTTAAACAAAAATGACAAAAACAGAGTTAGTTCTCTTGCAGTCAAATGTGCACGCTTGTTCTGCTGAAATGTAAAACTGCCCGTTTTTGTGACTTTTGTCCCCCCTCTCTTTATGTCTCTCTCTGTTTCTGTTGTATCTGCACACACCCTGTACTTTTCTTTAAAAGAGCAAACTGAATCATCAAAAGATTAACCAACAAGGAAATAGAAGCTGAGGCACGATTGCAAGGGAGAGCTATTATTGTTTATTTTGCTCAATTTGCTACTTTTCTTTCTTCATAGCCACAGTTTTAAGATTCTGGTTAGCAGCAGGGGACCTTTTCCTGGTGGGAAGGGCAATTAGCGTAAACAATGTTCTGAACATCTGCTTACTTAGTTTAGTTTAGTTTAGTTTATTATCATTGCACCTCATACAATGATATCAAACACCATCTTCAGTGCACATCATGACCATGAAAATAAACACAAACACACATCCTTCACCCTCCACACATTGAACAGAAAACCCCCGACACTGCACCAATACTGCAGAATACATGTTTTTCAGTCTATTTGTCCTTGTTTTTATTATTCTGTACCGTCTGTCAGATGGTAATAGTTTAAAAAAAAGGATGAGATGGATCTTTAAGAATGTTTTGAACTTTCTTAAGGCAGCAGGAGCTACAAAGCTCTTCCAAAGAGGGGAGAGGGCAAACAATGATCTTCTGGGCAATGACATTAACCCTCTGGAGTACTTTCCTATCTGCCATTGTGCAATTGACAAACCATACAGAGGTGCAGTAAGTTAAAATACTCTCTCTGCGGTGCAGCGGTAGAAGGTCACCAGCAGTTTTTCATTCAGTTGTTGTTTTCTGAAAAGTGTCAGGTAGTATAATCTCTGCTGGGCCCTTTTGACCAGGGCTGCAATATGAGCACCCCAGGTCAGGTCCTCTTTTATGGTAACACCCAGAAACTTAAAAACTGGCCACTTGCTCCACTCGGTCTCCATTGATAAGCAACGGCTGGATGTCTGATCTGTTCCTTCTATAGTCCACTATAAGCTCCTTGGTCTTATTGGTGTTGAGGACCAAGTTATTGTCTCCATACCACGAAAGCAGTCCACCTCATCTTGGTAGGCAGACTCATACCCCCTGGACATGAGTCCCACCACTGTTGTATCCTCTGCAAATTTAGCAATAGTATTACTAGCGTGAGTGGGAATGCAGCCATGCACATAAAGAGCACAGAATAAGGGACTCAACATGCAACCCGTGTGGTGTACCAGTGTTAAGAATAAGGGCTGAAGAGGTACGATTACCTAATCTGACCCTCTGTGAGCAGCCAGACAGGAAATCCATAATCCAAAGGCAGATTGAATAAGAATGGCCAAGGTCTAGAAGTTTAGACACTAGTCTATGTGGAAGAATTGTGTTAAATGCAGAACTAAAATCTACAAAAAGCATCCTCACATAGTCCCCCTGCTGTTCTAGATGAGTCAGAGCAGTGCGAAGAGTGATGGCTATAGCGTCCTCTGTAGATCTATTTCTTCTGTATGTAAACTGGTGTTTATGAAATGTTTATCATTTCTATGTACCAGAAATGATGTGCCGGCAGACTAATTTCTCAAAGCACTTCATGATGATAGGAGTGAGTGCCGCTGGTCTGTAATCGTTGAGGTTATTGATAGGGAACTTCTTTGGCAGTGGAACAATGGTGGAAGCCTTCAAACAAGATGGAATAGTGGACTGGGATAAAGACCGATTGAAGATCCTGGTAAAGACTCCAGCCAACTGATCAGCACAGTCTTTAAGAACTCAGCCAGAGATACCGTCAGGACTGGCAGCCTTTCTAGGGTCCACAGCCCTCAGAATGTTCACCTCCTGTTCCTCCACAATGAGGTGGGGGCTACATTTGGCTGGTGGTTGTATTTTAGCTGTCTTTGAGTTCTCCACTTCAAAGTGAGCAAAGAAATGATTCAGTTCCTCGGCTAATGAAGCATCCCCTTCAGCAGGGATGACATTGGTTGGTTGATGGTTTGTAATTTGTTGAATCCCTCGCCACACCTGCCTCATGTTATTGCTATAAAAATTATCCTCAATCTTCCCCTTATAATCAGTCTTGGCCTTCCGAATACCTTTCTTCAGATTAGCTCTGGCAACACGGTATCTTGCCCCATCACCGGACCTAAAGGCCTTGGTCCTGTCACGCGCTGGACTTCCTTGGTCATCCAGGATTTCTGATTGGAATAGATCCTAATGTTTATCCACAGTGACAGTATCTGTGCAGTGTTTGATATGGCACAAAACAGTTGCAGTGTGCTCCTCTAGGTCAGGGTGGTAAAAGATGTCCCAATTTGTGTTCTCAAAACAATCCTGAAGTTATTGGGAAGCATCTTCTGGCCAAGATTTCACTGTCTTTATTATAGGCAGAGCCCATCTCCTAAGAGGGATGTATGCTGGTGTTAAAAGCAGTGACATATGGTCTGATTGTCCCAAATGTGGTAATTGTATAACCGTATAGCCATGTTTGATGTTGGTATATACTTTGTCCAATATGTTTGCTCCTCTAGTAGCACACTTAACATGCTGATAGAATTTAGGGAGCACTGCTTTTAAATCAGCTTCATTAAAGTCCCCCGCTATGATACGCACAGCATCAGGATACTTATTCTGTTGATTACTAACAATGTTATACAAGAATCCCAAAGCTATGGTAGTATTGGCATCAGGTGGGATATAGACTGCAGTAATCAAAACCACGCTGAATTCCCGTGGAAGATATATGGGTCTACATTTAAGAGTCATATATTCCAGATCTATGGAGCAGTGGCTGTCTACAGTCTTTGTATTGATACGCCAGCTTTTGTTCGCATAAAGGCTTAAACCTCCCCCTTTGACCTTGCCAGAATCTCTACTCCTGTCCTGTCGGTGAGCTATGTAGCCTTCCAGCTCAACAGCTGCATCTGGAATGAGTGAATGAAGCCAAGTTTCTGTGATTAGCAAAACACAGCAGTTCTTGATGAATTTAGTCTTTGCAATCTGTAGCCTTAATTCATCCATTTTGTTAGTCAGAGATCTTGCATTGGTAAGAAATATACTTGGAATTGAAGGCTTGTGTGGAAACTTACTGAGCCTAGAAAAAGAAAACCCCAGCACAGCATCCTTTCTTTCTCTTCCTGTTCCTCTTTCTCCGCCTCTTCCTCCTTCCTACAGGGATAGTGATCCATGGCTTCCCCAGAGTCCTAGCTGCTTCCTTCGGTATGTTATAAGAATGTATAAAATCGTCCGTAATAGCCTTTTCACATTTCAGTTCAATTTGTAACAAGGCTTGCTGACTATAGATGCTCCTTGCCCCACAGGATTCAATCAAGGAAAGGATCCAAAACACACACAGAATCATACAAATCATAACACACCATACACTGAAAGAAGGAGCGGCCAGCCGCAGCATCCATGTGCGCAGCCAACTTAACATGTAAATCGCGAAATATGCAAAGCAATGTTCAATTGCAGATTTTTCACACCTAAATCTCTTTCCCAAGCTTGGTGCCATATAAGATATAGATTAACTTTCTTAATTTCCTTCGCAGAAAGATGGGGTATTAGTCAACTCACTCTAATATGCAAAAATATTAGTCATACTCACTCTCAATAGCTAAGTAAATTTTTCTTTCCCCCTCCTTGGGTTCTTTGCCTGGAGGAAAATAGGTTCCTCTGATTGTAATGGCAGCTTCAGAATATTCACTTATTCTGTGCAGTGCTTCCTTTGAAGTCACTTTCCATCTAGCAGTCTGCAAAAGAAATTTAAATTTAAAAGTCAAGTGAAATTCTCAATAAGATGAATTCCCTAAAGTTGCATGATAAAATCATCAGATACCTAAAATCGCACCTACATATTTAGGTTCTGTTCACTAGGAAAATTAAATAAGATACATATACATAGCATTTTATAAAAACCATTAAGCTTGATTTAATAAATTTATCTTTCTGGAAACACTGTTTTGAGCTAACTTTTAAAAGTTTTGCATTTTTTCTATGCCAGAGTTCATCAATACCCTGCTATCATGTTGTTTTATGGCTTCATCTCAATTCAAAGAATAAAATTTTGCCCCACAGGTTTTGTGGGCTTCATTTACTAAAGACAGACTTTATTTATATAATTATTTATTATATATTTAAGCAGTTTGCAGCCAAACAACACAATTTGGAAGTGTTAAAAGGCACTATAGAGCTTTATGCTTGAATGCATGAAAATGGATTTTGTATTCCTATTAAAGTTTATGCAACAGTCTGGTTAAGGGCCATATTCTGGGCATGTGTGCTGTCAAAGGGCAAGCAAAATAAAGTAAAACAACTTGATAATGAGCCAGAGTAATGTAGGGTGCACACTAATAATTTTGCCATACTAAAAAATGCAAAGAGTAGGGACCACTCACATATCCAAGTTTCTTTGGATATTAAATAAGCATCTCCAAATATCATATTACAAACACACCTGATATCCTTGCAATATTTTTCTGAATACATATAATACTGGAGGCTGGAATTCTAGGAGAGCAATTGTAATTTCCAAGGACATTTTTATTACCAATATAGCCAAAATGATTTATGTGCTGTTGAATGGCATCCAAGTGCCCCTCACTGGAAATGAAATCCTTTGTCTTTCAAACACCCCACCATTCTCCATATTTTATTTAGGATGAGAGTATATTGACAGCCAGGCTGGCTCAGTGGTTAGGTCATCAGGCTAGAAAGCAGGAGATTGTGAGTTCAATTCCTGCCTTTGCCAAGAAAGCGAGTTGGGTGATTTTGGGCCAGTCACTCTTTCTCAGCCCAACCCACCTCACAGAATTATTGTTATGGGGAAAAGTAGAGGACAATATTCTACTTAAGTTAGAAAATCTGAAGGAAACTGAAGTACAATTGCTATAGCTGAGCCACTTATAGTTCCTTCCTTCCTTCCTTTCTTTCTTTCTCTCTTTCCTTCCTTTCTTTATTTCTTTCTTTCTTTCCAACTACCAATTTTTTATATTGCTCATTTCACCTCTATACAATTTGCAAATAAAAACTCTAACATAGATGATTTCCCCTCAGTAATGAAGGGAATAGCAGGACGTCCTTCTCCAAAATTTAGCTCTGCAGACCCTCATTAGCCAGCAGGAGAATGTGGAGACAGTGTCAGGCTATCCATATAACTGAGGTGTTTTCTTCATTTAGTGACACTGTTTGCAGAACTGTTGATTAAATAAAAGATCCTTCATTGGATGGTGCTAATTTTGATTACCTAGTCAAGATCCCCAGGCACAGATACAAGATTTGTATGAGATAAGCCTTGGTAGAGACCTGGTTTCCTGTCACTGGTTTTAAAATCATCTGTCATGCCCCTTTCGGAATCTGATTTGGAGGGGGAGGCCAAGCAGCTGACAGGGAGTGGGAGTGTGGCTCCGTTGGCTGTGGAAGGAACTGGGGAAGGGCAAAGTCTGGCTGGGCAGAGCAGGGAAGAGGTAGAGCAAGGCAGAGGGAATTCAGAGGAAGACTCAGGGCCACTCCCTATTCATCCTAGGGCACACAAGGAGGAATGGAGAAGGGAGCAACATGAGTTGCATGGCTTATGGGGGAGGAAAGGGCCCTGATTTCCTTCATTAGCTGCAGCTGGGAACACAGTGTTTAAAAAGGGAAGATATGCACAGCAAAGTTGTTGGAAGCAAATCGTGAATTTTCTGGTATTGTCGAGGTTTATCTGGGGTCCTGGCATCTTCCCAACTGTGTGTGTTTTGCTGGCCTTTTAAGTCTGCAATTCCTTATCCTGCCCTATCAAGTTAATTACTGCAGCATGGTTTATGTGGATTTTTATTTACAATTGTATGTACTTTGTTTTTGGACTGAATTTCCTCCATTTAAAGACTGTTCTTGGGAGAGATTTTTCTCCAGCTGAAGGTAACCTGGACACTGGGAGCCAAAAGTTGGAGGTATTAAAGGGACTCTTCTTACTTATGTCACTGCGTTGCCTTTGTGCCATGCCCCGGGTCATCACATCATCGCAATGACTTTACATCACTAGATTGTGAAAATTAAGCAACGTGACTGGCCCTGAATGATGATGCAAACTCTTTTTTTCCTGGAATATCACAGGTTGGTCAGTATCATTAAAAGATCAAAATAAATTTGAGGATTCATCACATGATATTCTTCTCCAGTAAGAAATCTATGTTATATCAGAGATAGTATAAGATAGTTACTGGATTAACTCAATCCTGATACATCTAGAAAGGCAGGCGGAAAACCCAAAGGCAGTATTGTGACTATAGTTAGCACTGCCTTACAAGTCCATTTTTATTCTGATAAGCTTTTAAAAATTCAATGTGATTGTAAGCAACAACATTCCTTAAAAATTAAATGTGCAACTGAATTATAAAAACAAAAAACAGAATCAGAAAAATGTTAGTTACATGGGAGCAGAAAAAAATTATTATAAGAAGAGCTATAGCGATTAAAAACCTCTGCAATTTAAATGAAAATGAGAAAAGCAATCCTTGCCTGAGGGAAATCATTGATCTCCAGTTCTTCCTCATATCTCTTAAAAGATTCATTTTGTCCCTCCTGCTTGTCCTCCTCTTGTTTTTCGATAGGCACATAATTGAGCTTGGCATTGATCTTCTCAGCGAGTTGCTCCGCAATTGTTTTTGCAGAAACCGTGGGAGCCTGAATTGTGCCACCCCTCAGGATAGCGTTTGTAGCTTGCTGCATCACATCCTGAAATAAGGTATTTTAAAAAAAACTAATTTCAGAAACATATCGTTTGCAATTTAATATATCAAGATTTTTGTAAAAATGTACAGTATAAAAGAATAGAACAAAATAAGAAATGAAAAGCTTGTCAAATAAGCAAAACTGGACATAGTTACTACCTAAGGGGATGGTAATATGACTGCTTCCAGAAATAAAGGCCTTCACAATGTTTCAGTCTCTTAATTATTCAAAAATCACTGTGATTTTAAAGTGTGATACTTCAGTCGCCGATCTGTCAATGCTGGCAGATGGGAATAGGAAGCAGATTGCTGCTTCGTATTGCAACCCACATGCTGTCTAGTACACAGAAGGAAGATGTAAAGAGCAGGCAAAATTGGAAAAGTCAATTGTTTCCCTTCTTTTATTGTAATCACAATGACAGTTTCAAATCAGAAATCTGATTTCAGAACTTTTTTATATAACATTTTTAGCAACAATTGCCAACTCTTGTTTCTATTCCAATTATCTAATTTCCCAGTCTCCAAATAGATACGAAAACAGAGATAAAACAAAAGATTTATTATAAATAAATTACCAGTTGTACAAACAAAAAAGGGCTTGCAATATCTTAGAGACCAACCAATTTATTCTGGCATAAATGATATCTACTTCATTAAAATAAATGCCTTTACAAGAGTCTTTGTTGTTTTTGCTATCCCGCTAGAAATTAACTAGAGGGCTGCAGATAATTACAGCATTCAAATTGGCATTTTTTTCAGGCAACAAAAAACAAGCATAGCATAGGACACATAACAAATCTGGTGTGGGGCCACCAGAAATGTACAATCTATGAAACATGATCACACATGCTCTGAGCTGGGAAGAATCAACTGGGGGAACACAGCTTTTGTTTGCTTTACATTGCCAACTAAACAGCTCCAATGAAAGGCCCAAACTCAACCTCACTAGGACCAGAACGAAAAATTAAAACTTTTCTTCCAAATAACTACCAGCAACTTTGGGGGGAGCAGAAAATGGTTTGTTGCAAACAGCCATCTACAAAAAATGTTCATGCAGAAATAATGTTCATTTTTTTTTATATCAGAATACTTTCCCTTCCAAAAACTTTTAATGCCAATCAAATAATGTTTATTAGATCTTTTTATGTCTTTGCAAAGCACTAAAATATTTATTAAACTATTCATATAAATTTCTTGTTACTGATAAAATCATATTTTGAATTTACAGATTAGATCATTAGCACTTCAAACATTGGCAATACATAATAAAATTTCAGTTATCTGCACCCCCCATATACAAGTTTTTGAATATTTTCTAGGTTTAGTGTACTATAGCTTCTATACTGCTACCAACCCTTTGCTATTATACCAAATACATTACACAGATGTTATTCAAAATATTTTGAATTATTTGTGATAATTTTGTGTATCATGTACAGAGTTAAGAGAAATTTATAATTTATAATGGACTGATTCATATTTTTCTGAATACAAATTCAAATTGGGTTTCTAATTCAACTGCAACATTTTTTTCTTAAATGAAATAAATAAAGGTGTTTCATCCCTCTTTCCTGCTAATGTCTATGTCTACAGAGCTGTCTGGATAGTGAAGATTGTACTATATAAACTTAGCAAACATAAAGCATTCAACATAAAGACTATAAAAATTGATTTGTAGAAGAGGATGACCTTAAACTGAAAAGACACCAATACTTGTGCCTCGGCTCCAAGATTCTTCTGTGCATTGATTCTCAATGCCAATCTCTTAGCAATTTCTAATTTCTCTGCATTTCCTGCTGTAGGGGCAGGAACATTAGATGAACCACCAGAGGTTGCCATGTCCTTCACTCTTTTCTTTGAATTGAACATGCTTTCAATCTGCTCGTCAATCTAATAAAAAAGAAAAGGGAAAGTTCATATTTTTAGGGTAAACATAGTAAATGATTAGAAGCAATATGCTAATGGTTTAGATACCTAAGCAATTGATTTCTTTTTCAAGTACTAACCTGAAAAATCATCCAAAATAAAAATTGCTCGAAAATATTCAAAGTAAAAAAGTAGAAAAAATTATGGTTGACTTTTTTGGCAAGATCAAATATTTCACAAATTGTGAAAGTGATAGACAGCTATTGATGAATGAAAAATAATACAGTATTTGACTACAATTTAAAAGAAATTGGGCTCACAAATTCACTCCAATATAAGGTCAGCCAGAGGACAGGAAAACAAAAGTGTCATGTCAGCACATTTTATATCTGAAATGTCTAACTAAAAGAAATGTATGAAATACTTACATCAACTGCTGTATCTTCATCATCTGAATCCTGCAAGCCAAGTGCCGCTTTTTGTAACTTCTTCCGCTCATTTGCCAAAGCTTCTTCTGTTTCATCAAACTTGAATCCTTTACCAGAGAAGCCGCTACTTTTTTTAATCGATTTCCCCTCCTATAAATGCATATTCAAAAGTCAGCCACCAAATATAAAAATGTTCTAAATGTTTACTGGCAAAAGTTTTAACATAAATCAGATTCTTTAAGAGTTGAATACTGAAGTATTGATGAGATTCTCTGCCAATGTTTTGCACTGCATTCCAGAGAATCTTCCATAGAAACAAGGATATTTGCCTTGCAGTATTTGCAAGCTGTAAGAAATGAACTGAGAGGGTTGGTTGGTGATTGGAGGTTTCCTGGGAACGATTGATTAATGATTGCTGGAAACTTGATTAGTTCACTTCCTCTGTTTGTTATGTCTGGTTTGGATCAGTTGCCGTTGTGACAGATTCCTAACAACCTCCCAACTGGGATACATCTAAGAAAAAACTGATCAGTACCTCTGTATTAATTTCCTGAAGACCAACTATTAAATAGATAAAGAAATGTGAGAATTTAGTATCTACCACAAAACTAAAACAGTATATTTAAAACTGGAATTTTAAGAGATCAGTTAAGTTATGTTCAAAAATTTAACCATCACTCAAAGAACAACATGTATTAGTTGAACAAATTCATCCTCTCCATTACTCTTCAAATCTGTTTTGAAGGACTAGAGAATCTTCTCAAGACCAGACCAGGAAAACTTAACTTAAAGGGAGTGTTGGGGAAAATGAGAAGTCAGCTGTTAATACTAAATGTAGTTCATGATGTACAATGATTTATCAGTTACCAGAGGAGCTACCATTTTTTGGTGCTCCCACATGAAGACTATTTATTTATTTATTTGATTGATTGATTGAATTTATATTGCTGCCTATTCGCCCATGGCAAATTTAACTTCCTAGAAATTAAAAAAAATGCATCACCCAAAGTTCTAGCACAATCCATTCTAATACAATGTGTAGAAGAGGCCTTCTATGATCAGAATACACTGTTTACACAAGAGTTTCTTCAATTAGTCTGAAAAGGTACAAACTGCACTCCTAAGGCACCCAACTATTCTGTTTAAGAACTATTATTTACATACATAAACAGGATTTAAGTAAGCAATCTGAATATGACAACTATAAAATGGGTAACTCACAGCTTTCTGCTGATCTTTGAAATCAATCCAAAGTTTCTCTAGCTCAGGAGGAACTGCGGTACCTGACAACTCCAAAGCTTTAATTATATCACCAGCATACCGTGCTTGATCTTCAGTTATGAAAGTATAGGCATAACCCTGTAATAAAATATTAAGCATAAACATAATATAACTGAAAGTACATTGACGTTAAGTTATTTTTCTTTTTGTGAAGTTTCCACTATGCTGGGATGTTATCTTTCTTTATTTTCAAAGAAATATATCCATATCAACATATATAGTTACTGTATGTCTGATCAATTTAAATACATGTATACCCACACGTTGTATTGAAACTTTTAAACAAGATCAAAACTAATACAATTACCAGTAATACAAAAGAAAAAAGAAAAAAAATCAAAGAAAAAGAAAAAAGATCCAGGAGAGAAAAAAGTTGAAGAAAATTTCAAAAGAAAAAAAAGATATAAAGTGGCTTCCAATACTCTTCTAAGCAGTTATAAGCAGAAATATATTTGAATTTCTCTTTCTAAAATTACATCATATTACTTTTCTTTGTATAATCTACACTGCTCAAAAAAATAAAGGGAACACAAAAATAAGACATCCTAGATCTGAATGAATGACATATTCTTATTAAATACTTTGTTCATTACATAGTTGAATGTACTGACAACAAAATCACACAAAAATTATCAATGGAAATCAAATTTAGCAACCCATGGAGGTCTGGATTTGGAGTTACACTCAAAATTAAAGTGGAAAAAAACACTGCAGGCTGATCCAACTTTGATGTAATGTCCTTAAAACAAGTCAAAATGAGGCTCAGTAGTGTGTGTGGCCTCCACATGCCTATATGACCTCCCTACAATGCCTGGGCATGCTCCTGATGAGGTGGCAGATGGGATCTCCTCCCACACCTGGACTAAAAGCATCCCCCAACTCCTGGACAGTCTGTGGTGCAACGTGGATGGAGCAAGACATGATGTCCCAGATGTCTTCATGTCCCAGAATCCTCAATTGGATTCATGTCTGGGGAACGGGCAGGCCAGTCCATAGCATCAATGCCTTCGTCTTGCAGGAACTGCTAACACACTCCAGCCACATGAGGTCTAGCATTGCCTTGCATTAGGAGGAACCCAGGGCCAACCGCACCAGCATATGGTCTCACAAGGGGTCTGAGGATCTCATCTCGGTACCGAATGGCAGTCAGGCTACCTCTGGCAAGCACATGGAGGGCTGTGCGGCCCCCTAAAGAAATGCCACCCCACACCATTACTGACCCACTGCCAAACTGGTCATGCTGGAGGATGTTGCAGGCAGCAAATGTTCTCTACGGTGTCTCCAGACCCTGTCACGTCTGTCACATGTGCTCAGTGTGAACCTGCTTTCATCTGTGAAGAGCACAGGGCACCAGATTGGCGAATTTGCCAATCTTGGTGTTCTCTGGCAAATGCCAAATGTCCTGCACGGTGTTGGGCTGGAAGCACAACCCCCACCTGTGGACATCGGGCCCTCATACCACCCTCATGGAGTCTGTTTCTGACTGTTTGAGCAGCCACATGCACATTTGTGGCCCGCTGGAAGTCATTTGGCAGGGCTCTGGCAGGGCTCCTCCTGTCCTTCCTTGCACAAAGGTGGAGGTAGCGATCCTGATACTGGGCTGTTGCCCTCCTACGGCCTCCTCCACGTCTCCTGATATACTGGCCTGTCTCCTGGTAGCGCCTCCATGCTCTGGACACTACACTGACAGACACAGCAAACCTTCTTGCCATAGCTCGCATTGATGTGCCATCCTGGATGAGCTGCACTACCTGAGCCACTTGTGTGGGTTGTAGACTCCGTCTCATGCTACCACTAGAGTGACAGCACCGCCAGCATTCAAAAGTGACCAAACCATCAACCAGAAAGCACAGGAACTGAGAAGTGGTCTGTGGTCACCACCTGCAGAACCACTCCTTTATTGGGGATGTCTTGCTAACTGCCTATGCTTTCCACCTGTTGTCTATTCCATTTGCACAACAGCATGTGAAATTGATTGTCAATCAGTATTGCTACCTAAGTGGACAGTTTGATTTCACAGAAGTGTGATTGACTTGGAGTTACATTGTGTTGTTTAAGTGTTCCCTTTATTTTTTTGAGCAGTGTATATTGCTTATTAGAAGTATATTTTTTCATTTTTATGCAAAATGTTCCTAGAAGAATAAGTTATATTTTCAGTTTTACACAGCCAGTGAGATCAACTACATTTTAAGCATTAGTTTCTGAACTATTAAGCAACATTCCAGAAATGATTAAATATGTTTAGCTTTAAACAATAGGATATAATATATTTCTAATCTTACTTTTATTTTATTTTTTAAGCTTTATTTTAAAATAAACCTGAAATCAATGCAAAAATACAGAGCATGATCCAGAATACATATCCTGTAAATGAAAAAGTGAAACATATCTTCAGTTGCTCAAATGTGCAATGAGGAAAAATATAATTTTGTTAACATTTTTTCCTCCTGCAGTCTGTATAATCCAGAACTGAGTTTTGGTTCAATGGGACATTTCCAAACAAGGTTTCACAGAATGGAATCCTTCAAGCGATTTGCTCAGAATCTTTGCATGTGCACATATCTATATGCAAACTACCAGACATTATAATTCTACAGTCCAGTCCTATTAAGCACATGGTCAACAGTTTTCGATTTGGTTTCAATCACAAAATTGCTATTTAGTTGAAAATGAAAGATACAAATTACTTGAGTCAATACAATTAGGCCAAGGACTGAAGAATATTACATCAAGGATTACACCATCTGAGAGCTTCAGGATATTCACCACTGCTCTGTTTAATTGGAAATGAGCACATTTTTTATTGTTAGTAAAACAATTTTAGATCAAGTGGTTGCTCAGAAAGTATATAAATCAACAAAGCAATAACCCTTCCAAATGAGCCTTTATCTTTTAAGTCATCAGTGGAAAAAATATTTACATACTTTGTTGCCTGCACGCCCAGTTCTGCCTGCCCTGTGCACATAATCCTCATAATGATTAGGACAACTGTAGTTGATTACAAGCATAAGATGCTTTACATCAAGACCTCGAGCTGCTACTGATGTAGCCACAAGCAGTTTGCATACTCCACTCTTAAAATCATTGATTATGCTGTCTCTGTCATATTGGTCAATACCTGCAGAAGAAAACACATGCAAAGGATGCTGATGAACATATAAGGTTCAGTTATTTTGTCAAATAATTAAAAGACGAGGAATGCCCACTACCTCCATGAAGTGAAAGACAGGGGTAAGAAGCTCTCATCAAATCTTTCAGTAATCCATCAGCATGTTCCTGTTTATCCACAAATATAATGACAGCTCCTTTTTCCTGATAATGTCCTAGTAGCTCAAGCAATTTCAAGAACTTGCTCTCTTCCTCTATGACAACCTGAAAGACCGGAATAGTTGGTGAAAGAAGCAGTACAGTTATCCCCAATGGAACATCTGGAGATATCAGTATGGTCTATAATAGCAATATACCTGATTCAAACATCATAGCAAATGTTCAGTGGAAACTTACTTTAATTTTACAATAAAAACATTTTTTATAGATAATCTATAACTGCAACTAGCAAAGAGCAAGATTTGACTTCATTTTTCTTCTCTTTGGGGGAAAGAAGACTGCCTAGGTACAAAGTGAGTACTACAAAGTTATACCATTATTTTGGGGGCATGTCAAAGACCTGTTCCAACCCATACAAATATTAGTTTACTCATTAAATGATTTTTAGGGCTGCCATTTCATTCATGGAACTCCAGGCAGTTCACATTATGTCAAAATTGTACAATATCTAGATTAACCTTAACTCAACTTAAAACTGTAACTGCATAATATACTAAAACAAGGACACAGAAATTACTGAAGTCTACAATAATTTGATTGTTTAACCAGCCTTACCCAACACCCTGGCCAAATGTATTAGCCCATGCTGAATATGTATTTTGGCCATCCACAACATATTTGAAATAATTTCTGAAATTATCTCCAATTTCTAAGGCAATTTACTATGTAAACTTCACTATGGGCTACTAGTTTTAAAAAAGTAAGCCTTAAACTGTATTTCATATAACCAAAAATGTAAATTCTGGCTTCTGACTAATAAAAATAACTAAGGATAATATTTAGAAAAATAGCCTTGAGTTCAACTTTTTCTTTGATAATGCCACAGTTTTCTTTGAGTCTGATACTTTGTGATAGCGAAGTGCCAGTTCCAATCTGAATATGTTCCTTTATAGTAGCATATGGATTCCTTTGACAACTATACTGTATGAACTTTTAAGCATAACAGATCATTGGATAAACTTTACAGTAAAAATTGCATAAAAGTGCTATCACTCTGCAGCACAGGACAACAAATGTTATCACTAGTGCTTTGATAAACTGCCTCATTGAAGAATCACAAAATAACAAGTATTACTCTCTGTTATACAATTAATACATTTCAGAAGCCAATGCCTGCAAAATATTTACAAGTAAAGCTATCTTGGATATATAACTTTGTTCTAAAGCTATCCTTTGAAGGCTGTCATTAAGACAGGGAATACAAAGGTTACATTTCTACATCTTACCACTTTCTGTTCAACATCTGAACAGACAACACTCCGGCCACCAACTTGGACCTCAATTGGTTTGCTGAGAATACGGCGAGCTAAAGCCTCCATGGCTCTAGGGAAAGTAGCAGAAAACATCACGGTCTGGCGATCAAGTCTCACATTGTCTACAATGCGCATAACCTATTGTGAACAAAAGTGGGTTAATGGTGAATTTCCCAAATCAGCTACATACTGCTTTCCTGTGGAAAGAAATTCTTCTACAATATTCAGTGTTCACACCAGTAGTAAGCAATTATTTACTACTAAGATATTTATAGGTGGTTAATATGTAAACTCCATTCTTTTTTCCGACTTTGTATAATCTTGTACCTAATTTAATGAATTGGTTAACAGACAGCAATGTAGTATAAGTAGGTATCAGGCAATACTTTGGACTCTTCCATGCCCATTTTGGTACTTATATTAGAGATTAAACATTTACTAGACAAAAATAACTTTCTACTGATCAATAGCTATGCCATCAAAGAGCAGAACATGAAATATACTATGTAAACCTTTGTTAGGAAATCTGTAAAAACTAGTCATTCCTATGGTTACCTGAGGCTCAAAGCCCATGTCAAACATTCTATCTGCTTCATCAAGGACAACATATGTCACTCTCCGAAGATTTGTCACCCGACCTATGGAAAGGAGAGAAAACAACAAAAGGAAACAAAAATAAATCTAAAAGCTATTTTTCTTCGTAAAATATTTAAATAAAATGGTACTTATTCTGACTAGAATTTAAACAAAGATTTAATCATTTATTTATTTTAGAAAAACAATTCACTAAGTGCCTTATCTCTTGTACTGGCAAATGTTTTGGCAATTGTGTACTGATGCACAAGGCCCATTATTTTGTCAATTACTTCTCTTGTATATCAGTACAGGGCCAGAAGAACCTGCAAAATTCAGAAAACAGCCCTCACCAAAACACATCATAAAACTAAGACTAAGGTGAAGCAACGAGCCACATCAGCCATTATCTGTGAGCGCCACCTACAAAAAAACATATTAGAGATTACAGCGCATGTGTGGAAAGCAAAATTCAAGTGATAACTGAAGAAACCTTACAAAATCTTAGTGTCACTATTGGAAATACTTATGATTCAACATTTAATTACACTGAAATCCAGGAAAGCTTTATCTCCAATTTTCTAAACAGAAAGTCTCATACTGGTTCACAGAACCTATTCATAGAAACTACCATCATATTGACATAAACAGAACTGCGCAATATTTTCTCATATACAAATATAGCTCAAAATTAGTGAACTCAATATTAAGAATAGCTATCCCACACACAGTGACAAATAGACCCATGCAAAAGACTTCTTTGCCTTGTGTAATGATCTAGACCAAAAAGATTTTAAAAAATTTAAACTAAAGATTTCCAAAGGTGCTGGTATAAAGTATACCTAAATCCCACTTAATTGTTTGAGAATCAGCAATTCTATACTAAATCTTGTATCCAAAAGCACAATGTGCATACATCAGTGATTCTCCATCACTAGTTAATGTACTTTGCATTCCCTCCCTGTTGGTTTATATGGCAAAGAAGAGAGAATATACATACATATTTAACATACATATATGCTTTTCTTTTAGAACTTAATTCTATGATTCTTTTTAAACAGTAGAAAGCAGTTTGAGGATTTGACCTGAGAAGCCATGAACCCTTAAACTGAAAGAATTACAGATTTCTACTGTGGGTTTCTATTGCTCTAATATTTGATGGAGCTAGAGAGTACAGAAAACCTTCTTGACTACTTTTGCATATAGTGACAGTTTATAGTAACTTCAAGAATATATCTAGCCCAAGAAAGCAGTCATTTCTAGCACAAACAAGAAGTTACAATCCACAACAGCCTGCTTTCTATTACTTTATACCAGGGGTGTCAAACTCGCAACGACACATTGTCGTCACATGACATATCGCAACTTTCCCCCCCCATAATTAATCTGGGGGTGGGCGAGGCTAGCGCGTGACGCATCTGTCCCGTGAGCTGCGAGTTTGACACCCCTGCTTTATACAAACTGCTACTCCCATTTCAATAAAATCAAAGTGAATATATTAAAAACAAGTAAAAAATCTGCAGAGATGCCCTAGCCACGTCACTTCTATTTCACTTTGTGAATATATACAGGAGGTCCGAGTTTCACCTCAGCTACTGATGCTTATTGGTTGGAAGCTGGATTGAGTTAGACCTTACTGCAGCATCTTCAAGCAAATGGATAGCAATTTTTAAAAATCTGAAGGAGGAAATGCTATTTTAATGTGGTGTAAAATAAGTAATTCAAAGTAAACACAAGATTTCTATTTATTTTTCCTTTACTTCTAAACACATTATGTAGTATATTATTTCTAATAAACCAAAAAAAGAACTTTGCAACACTTTTCAAAAAAATAATAGGCTCTTATTGTACAAGTGTACATTATTTTGGAACAACATTGCTGTACCTACCTTTGATGACTTAGTCTTTGGAAGCTCAGTTCTATAACTCTTGAAGGAACTTTTTCCACAGAAGTCAAATGTCAACAGTTTAGTAAGAGTTTTTACAGTAAAATACATAAACAAACAATCAAATATTATGTGATAAGCACATTATGTTGCAGTAAAATGTACTTTAAAGCTGCAATATCTCTGTTTAGGTTATTCGTTATCAAACCATTTTGAGGAAAAAAGCCATTTTTTAAAAAAACTCAAACTGTAATGTTTTGTTCCCAGATTTAGAGATGAAAACTTCTTTATACAAAAGGTGAGCAATCGGTGTTAATAACCAATAGATAGGGAACGTGATTTCAATATAAATGATAAGTGTCAAACAGCCTTTTTAGAAAGTCAATTCTGAAATTGAGCTATAATCCCAAAATGAGTATGTTTATTTTAAGAAATGCTTCAAAGGTTTCCATTCGTCAAATACTTTTGAAATTTCTAATGAAAAATATTGAACAGAGTCATTTTTAAGACCATTCTGTACATTAGGATATCACAGCTTCAACATATCTATGAATTTCATTATTGAAGGGGAGGGAAACAATGTGTCAGAATTTCTTTACAAATAAAAAGTATTTTCTTACCATTATTAGCTGCTAACATATCAATCATACGACCAGGTGTGCAAACTATTATTTCCGCACCCCTTTTCAGTTCAGCAATCTGAATATAAAATACGTAGAAGAAACTATTTTAAAGTATAACATTTATAACAATACTTAAATTATCAATATTAATATATGGTTTAAAATATGAATCCTTCTGTTCTCAATTATTAAATTGATACATAATGTCAGAAAAATATAGAGCTAGCACACAGAGAGGGGATTAGGGGCTCACATCCATCAGGCCCCTTTACCAAAACCCACATTTTAGACAATATCCATCTATTATCCCACCCTCTTCCTAAACACAGGGAAAAATGAATTGACTCTGAAAAAATGTATAAAAGTAGCTAGAGAGGAAAGAATGAATTTTCTACTTTCTGTGCACTGCCATCACATTGTTTCAAATGGGTTGTTTTTAAAATATAATTGTTGTGTTATATGTAGACCTATATCCAACATTACTTTGTTACCAGAAAAATTAGCCACTAAGTATTAACCTAGACTGAGAAAACCTCACTAATCAGGTTTTATAGCACCTGTCAGACAACTAATTCAAGTCCACTTTGCTCTTTAGAACAGTGGTCCCCAACCTTTTTTGTACCAGGGACCAGTTTCAAGCACAAACACTTTTTCAAGGACCGGGGGGGGGGGGGGGG